AGCTACTTGGAAGGCTGAGGCACAAGGATCACTTGAGCCCAGCAGGTCGAAGCTGCGGTGGCCGTGAGCATGCCACTGCGCTCCAGCCTGGGTGACAGAGTGAGACTCCAACTCAAAAAAAAAGGTAAACATTAGACACTTTGACACTGCAGTCTCTAACCTTTTTGGCATCAGGGACTGGTTTCATGGAAGACAGTTTTTCCACGGTGGGGGAATGTGCAGTCAAACCTCACCATTAATGTTAATCTGTATTTGCAGTCACTCTCCAGTGCTGGCATTACCACCTCTGTTCCACCTCAGATCATCAGGCATGGGAATCCCATAAGGAGTGCAAAACCTAGATTCCTCACTCGCACAGTTTACAACAGGGTTCGCATTCCTATGAGAATCCAATGCTGCTGCTGGTCTGACGGGAGGTGAATAGCTCAGACAGTAATGCCGGCGATGGGGCAGCCCTAAATACAGATGAACCTTCACTTGCACGCCTGCCGCACCTCCTGTTGTGCGACTCTGTTGGGGACCCGTGCTTTAACCTACATCATCGATGTTCCTTGTGTCATTCAGGGATGATGTCTTATAAAGTTAATCTGATACTTTGAAAGGACAAAAGATTTTGCAGGCAAAATATCTGTGGTCTAATCTGATGCCTGTAAACATTCAACAGATGCGCATCTACCATGTGTTAGACGTTGTTTTAATCAGGGAACAACACAGGAAAAAACTCCTGCTCACATGGAATTTACGTTCTAGTCCAGTGGATCTGAGTCCACTTCTTTGCTAAAATCACTGGTATAACTTGGAAGGAATTTGTTGCAGGTTCCACATAGCTAAAAGGAGAGACATGAGGTTTTGTAGCTGTTGTGACAAAGTACCTTGCTAGTGTTTCTAGCACTGGATTTTTCTAGAATGAACCTTAAGCTTTTACGTTTGAGGATTGTGTGTTTACCACATTTCGCTATTGTTTTTCCCCGAGTCAGAGTCTCATTCTGTTGCCCAGGCTGGAGTACAGTGGCACACTCACAGCCACCACAGCCTCAAACTGCTGGGCTCAGGCGAACCTTCTGTCTCAGCCTTCCAAGTAGCTGGAACCACAGGTGTGCGCCTCCGCACCTGGCTAATTTATTGATTTATTGTAGAGATGAGGTCTCACCAAGTTGCCCGGGCTGGGCTCGAACCCCTGGGGCTCAGACAGTCCTCTTGCTTGTGCCTTCCAAAGTGCTGGGATTACAGGAATGAGCCACCAAATCCGGCCACTAAGATTTTTTTTCCTGGAGAGCTTTGAGTGCCCATAGATTCACCTATGACACTAGGCAGGTGCCTTCCAGCTTCCCTTCCTCCTGGATGTTAACACCAGATGTCCACATCACACAACAGCTAGTGTGTCCTAAGTGGAACTCAGTTTTTAAAGCTATGGCAGTGGAAAGCACAAGAGATCTTCTGGGTTCGAGTTACGTCTCCGTGACTCACCTGAGCATATACTTCACATTTCTTTCTGACCGTCTGCAGAGTGGCTAGTCAACCAGATTTTTTGAGGATGAAGTGAAGATTTTATGTAAAACACTTGGCCTTGGGTAGGACTCAGATGCATGTTAAGTCTGCCTCTCCCAGCTCCTGAGCTGGTTCCTCTTGATCACCCCCCACCTGGGTTTGCTGCTGGCTATCTCCAGCTGCTCCATTTTGCTCTGTTCACTTTGTCCTTCAAATCTGGTTTGAAGTCAAACTTAATTATACCTTCCTTGCTGAGAATCATGAACTGGTTCTCTATTTCCTTTTCTTCCTTTCAGTTGCAGGCTCTGTTTTTCAGGTTGGAGTGTAGTGGCACTTACTGAAGCCTTGACCTGCGGGGTTCAGGCGATCCTCTGGCCTTCTGAGTAGCTGGGACGACAGGCGTGCACCACCCCACCTGGCTACAGTTTTGATTTTTTGTAGAGACGAAGTCTCGCTGTGTTGCCCAGGCTGGTCTTGAACTCCTGGGCTCAAGCAGTCCTCCCATTTCAGCCTCCCAGCATGCTGGGTTTATAGGCATGAACCTCTGTGTCCGGTCTGGCTCCCTGTATCCTACCTGAATGAGATGAGAAACTCCCGGTAGACTTTCAGTTCCCTCCATGTCTTGCCCCCTCCTCGGTATTCTCACTGGAGCCTTATTTTAAGAGGTGACATCAAGCCAGTGCGTTCCTACCTGGTCTTCTCACTGTCCCGTAGGCCAGCCATGTGCATATCAGTCCCAAAGCAGCACACCACCTTGGCTCTTCCGGGTCAAGTCTTCCTCAGTTCTCCCCATAAGGCAGGTCATGTTGGGGGTCAGCCCTAAGCAACACCTGATGTTGCTGCTGTTTCTTCTGTGTTCCCTTCCAGAGAACTGGGTCTCATACCTAACCTCCACAGGTTCACCTGGCATTATGTGTATAGTATTGTAAAAATTTAATATATTCTTGTTGATTGAATGAAATCGCCTCTCAGATGTTTAAGGACTTTTGCTCTGAAGAATTTTATTTTTTTGAGAAGGCAGGATTTATTAAGAGGACAGAAAACCTCCTACAGTGAGAGGGGACCCAAGGGAGTTTCCTGCTCTGAAGAATTTTAGAACCAAATCATTCCAGTTTTCTCTCAGAAAATCTCTCATTAATACAGTGGGTGAGCCGGGCTCGGTGGCTCAGCCTGTAATCCCGCACTTTGGGAGGCTGAGGTGAGTGGATTGCCTGAGCCTGCGGGTTCGAGACCCACCTGGGCAACTTGGTGAGACCTCATCTCTGCAATAAATAAAAAATTAAGCCGGGCTCGGTGGCTCAGCCTGTAATCCTGCACCTTTGGGAGGCTGAGGTGAGTGGATTGCCTGAGCCCTCGGGTTCAAGACCCGCCTGGGCAGCGAGACCTCATCTCTACAATAAATAAAAAAATCAGCCGGGCATGGTAGCGCGTGCCTGTAGTTCCAGCTACTCGGAAGGCTGAGGCGGAAGGATCACCAGAGCCCAGCATGTCGAGGCTGCGGTGGCCGGGAGCGGCCACTCCAGTCTGGGTGACAGAGTGAGACTCCAACTCAAAAAAAAAAAAAGGATGGAACATATACACAATGGAATATTATGCAACCATAAAGAAGAACAGACATAAGGACTTCGCAGCAACTTGGATGATTTTAGAGTCTATCACACTCAGTGATCTATCACAGAAACAAAGAACAGAGTACCATATGTTCTCATAAGCAACCTTGAGCAATTATAATACTATAAGAAAGCGATTGGCAGTAGTGGGAAACTATCAGGGGAGGGCGTGGGATTGGCAGCTGAGGGAACCTGCTAGGGGAGGAAGAGGCACACCTCATCAACAAGGGCACCTGCATGATCAATGTTTGTGTACTAACCCTGATTTGTACCCCACATCTTTATAATAATAAAAAAATACAATGTGTGCTTAGTGTTCCCCCACCTTTTTTTTCTTTTTCTTTTTTGTTTTTGAGTCAGAGTCTCACTCTGTCACCCAGGCTGGAGTGCAGTGGCACACTCATAGCCACCGCAGCCTTGACCTGCTGGACTCAGATGATCCTGCCACCTCAGCCTTCCAAGTAGCTGGAACTACAGGTGTGCACCACCATGCCCACCTAATTTTTTTGATTGATTGTAGAAATGAGGTCTTGTCAAGTTGCCCAGGCTGGTCTCGAACCTGTGAGTTCAGACAAACCTCTCACCTAGGTCTCCCAAAGTGCTGGGATTATAGGCGTGAGCCACCGGGCCCAGCATGGTTTCCCCCTTTTATAAAAAGTATGCTCAGTTTTGAAGACTTGGAAAAGGGATACAGAAAAATGTTCACAATTCTGCCAATCATAGATACATTTCGTAATCATTTTTAATGATAAGGGTGTACTTTTTAACCAATTAGTTGACATCTTAGTTAACATCGAGTGACATCTTAGTTAACATCGAGGGGGCAGTTTGTGCTAGACACTGCAAATATGTACTTTTATACTCATATGAACTTTCAAAAGTAATATGAAATATATTTTTAGAAATTTTATCTTTTTCTTTAAATATCTTTGTTCTTTGAAGTGACTACTTTAAAAATACTTTCTATATTTTAAAAATATTTTCTAAATACTATAAAATGACAATTTGTGAAGTTATCATTACTATAACTTAGAATTTCAAGTTTAAAGAATACTTGTGGCCAGATGTGGTGGCTCAAGCCTGTAATCCTAGCACTTTGAGAACTGAGGTGGAAGGATTACCTAATCTCAGGGGTTCAAGACCAGCTTGGGCAACTTGGTGAGACCTCATCTCTATAATAAACCAAAAAATAAACCAGGCATGGTAGCATGGGCCTGTGGTTCCAGCTATTTGAAAAACTGAGAAGAAAGGACCGCCTGAGTCCAGCAGGTCGAGGCTGCGGTGGCCATGAGCATGCCGCTGCACTCTAGCCTGGGTGACAGAGTAAGACTCCAACTAAAAACAAACAAAAACTTGTATGCGCTGGGTGTGCTGGCTCATGCCTGTAATCCCAGCACTTTAGGAGGCTGAAGCAGGAGCCCAGGAGTTCAAGACTAGCCTGGACAACAAGGACTCTCAACATAGCAAGACCCCATCTCAGCAAAAAAGAAAATAGAATTAGTTGGGTATGTTGGCAAGCGCCTGTAGTTCCAGCTATCCAGGAGGCTGAGATGGGAGGGTTGCTTGAGCCTAGGAGGCACCTCTGCATTCCAGCCTGAGCAACAGAGCAAGACTGTGTCTCTTAAAAACAAAAAAACAAAAAGAATGCTCGTATGCCAGGGCTGTGCATAGCATGTGCTACTTGCTTTGAGGAATACCAGGCTGAATCGTTCTTCTGCTCAGTGGTTTCCTGTGCTTAAGGAATTGTGTAAAAATTCCTTGTGGGTGTGTGTGTGTGGAAAGGATAGGAGAAATAACTGGAGTGAGTGGTTACTTGGAGATTGGTAGCATTCATTTTCTCTGTGATGCAAGGAAACTCTGAGCTCAGTTCTGTAGTGATGCCATCCCCTTCCTTGTGTTCTTAGGTTGGCTTGTCTTGGGAGCTTCCAGGCATTGCTCGCCCTGAGGACCAGGTGACCGTTGACATCAGCCATGTCGTCGAGGCCTTTTGAAAGTCCACCTCCTTACAGACCTGACGAGTTGTAAGTAAACAATTCTTTAGTTGTGTTCTCTTTTTGAAACATTCAACCACGTTAAAAAATGAGTGTTGTTGAAGCTTTCGTCTAGTAAGTACTTATTTGCTTCTAAAAATAAAAGTGTGTGTCCTTGTAAGTTTCAATTATACCAAAGGGTGTGTAGTGAAAAGTGAATTTCCCTCTTACTCTTCCAGGATGGCAGTTTTTCTCTGCAGAGGCAACTGTGGCCACGTGTTTCTAATGTTTGCTTCAAGAGATTGTCAAGGTTTATATCTGTGTACATATTCATTTCTTTTTATTTTGTAGATGGCAACATACTGTCAGTTAAAAAAAAAAAAAAGCTTTATTTATTTATTTTATTTTTATTTTTTTGAGTCGGAGTCTCACTCTGTCGCCCAGACTGGAGTGCAGTGGCCGCTCCCGGCCACCGCAGCTACAGGTGCACACTACCACGCCCGGCTCATTTTGATTTATTGTAGAGATGAGGTCTCGCCAAGTTGCCCAGGCGGGTCTCGAACCCGCGGGCTCAGGCCATCCACTCACCTCGGCCTCCCAAGGCGTGGGATTACAGCCTGAGCCACCAAGCCCAGCAATAACAGCTTTATTGAGTCATAATTCACACACCATACAGTTGCCCATTTAGAATGGACAGTTCAGTGGGTTTTAGTGTGTTCACAGAGTGGTACAGCAATCACAGTTCCTTTCTAGAACATTTATCACCCTCCAAGGAAACCTCCCCTAGACCTAGGCAGTCATCAGTCTCCTTTCTGCCTCCATGGGTTTGTCTGTGTATGTTTTATGTAAATGAGTCGTGTAATGTGTGGCCTTTTGTAAACGGCTTCTGGCATTTAGCATAACGTTTTCTGTATTGTTAATTTTAAGAGAGATTCCTGCCATTATATGAAAGAAGCAAAGTTGAGGGGTTTTGGAGTTTGGGGTCATTTGGGGATTTATCAATGAATTTTTAAATTCAACATGATAGGGATTTCCCCTGTGAGCAGTTTGGAGCTTTAACGCTTTCATAACTGTAGCGGGGTATAGCATGGGAAGAAAACTTGCTCTTGCTCTTCTCTCCCCGCACAATACAGAATGCTTCTTGGACTTCTGATCATCAAGTATGGGGCCGTCTTCCCACCAGCAGCCAAGTAATCAGTTCTACAGCAGGCACCCGCTGGGCGTCCTGCAGCTCAGTTCTGACAGTATCTACCTGGAGCTAGCGTGAGATCACAGCTTGAGGGTGCAGTCCCACGAGACTGCCTGGACTTTAGATGCCAGCCTGTATTTCTGTCCTACTTGCTGTAAATCAGATTCTTACAAACCCCTCGTCAGTTTTCATTAATTTGCTAGAGGGCTCACAGAACTCACGGAGACACTACTTACCTCTGCCTCCCAAAGTGCTAGGATTACAGGCGTGAGCCACTGCATCCATTCATTCAAAGATATTCAAAGATAGACTGATCACAGTACCCCCAGACAGGGAGAACCCAAACGTCTGAGTAGAACGGGCTGTAGGATTTTCATGTATGACATTTTCAGAGACCAGCTTATCCGTGTTCTCTTTAGTCTCTCCATGTCCTTTTTGTTTTTATTATCATATGCTCAGATCACTTCTTTGAATTCTCATGGTCAGCAGAAGCCAGTAGAAAGATGTCTTACTTGGGAGTGAGAAAGTAGTCTTTAGAATTGAGAGTGGAAATAAAAGCAGCTGGGGTCAATTTAGGAATTGAACTTTGCCCCCCCAGGGCCCATAGTTCTTAGCTTTAGAGTGGCCACATATCAGTGTGTCTGTCACAACCAGCCTATTTATGATTAAGTTACTGGGATTTGCAAAGTTTTTTTTTTTGAGTTGGAGTCTCACTCTGTTGCCCAGACTGGAGTGCAGAGGCATGATCACGGCTACCGCAGCCTCGACCTGCTGCATTCGGGCAATCCTTCTGCCTCAGCCTTCCAAGTAGCTGGAACTACAGGCACGTGCAACCACGCCTGGCTTATTTTTTTGGATTTAGTGTAGAGACAAGGTCTCGCCAAGTTGCCCAGACTGGTCTTGAATTCCTGGTCTCAGGCAGTCCCACCTTGACCTCCCAAAGTGCTGGGATTACACGCTTGCAGAGTGTCTTTTTGGATCCAATTAAGTATTACCCTGTTGAGGTCTTATTACATGTTTGGTTTATTTTGTAGCTCTTGCCACAACTATACGCACTATAGACAATGTAGCGATCCAGTTAGTATCTCAGTCCCTTGGCAGAGACGAAACTCAAGTGATACTCTCCTGTTCATTATTGAATACCTACTGTCTAGCCCTGTACTCAGCACATGTCAGCCCGGCAAGCCCAGAAGATAGCTGTTACACGAACACATAAATGAATGTGCTTCCTTTTTATTTTTATTTTTATTTTTTTGAGTTGGAGTCTCACTCTGTCACCCAGACTGGAGTGCAGTGGCTGCTCCTGGCCACCGCAGCCTCGACCTGCTGGACTCCGGCGATCCTTCCGCCTCAGCCTTCCAAGTAGCTGGAACTATAGGCACGCGCTACCACGCCCGGCTGATTTTTGATTTATTGTAGAGATGAGGTCTCGCCAAGTTGCTCAGGTGGGTCTCGAACCCACGGGCTCGGGCAATCCACTCACCTCAGCCTCCCAAAAGCGCAGGATTACAGGCTGAGCCACTGAGCCCGGCTTGAATGTGCTTCCTTAAGCAGGAGAGTGAGGCTCCCAGGAATTGCCTGTGACCCTCCATAGACCAGTGTAGGTGTTACGTCTGAGTGCACTGGCAAAAAAGTTGACACCATTGTTCTAAAACTGTCCGTGTCCCATCCCTGGCGCGGATGATGATTTAACTTCTATGGTGGGCTCCATCTGAGAATTTCACATATTCCCTTGGTGATCCTCATGGGGAGAAAATTTTGAGAACCTCTCACCTCCATAAAATATTAGAGCAGTCATTCTCAGTATGTGTTTTCCAGGTCAGCATCACTTGGAAACTAGTCCTACCCCAGACCTGCAGAATCAGCAACTCTGGGGCAGGAGGCTGATAGTCTATGTGTTAACCAAGCCCTCCAGATGATTCCTGTGTATAGCTACCTTTACGGTTCAGGGGGGCAGCAATGATTGGTTCGTTTCCCAACGGTTTAAATTATTCCAAGTGCTTGACGTGTTCTTTCTGCTTACAACCAAAAAGTGCTAACTTGAGATTGTCTCTGTGTGCCTTTCAGCAAACCGAATAATTATGCGCCAAGCAACGACATGTATGGTGGGGAGATGCACGTTCGACCCATGCTCTCCCAGCCGGCGTATTCTTTTTACCCAGAAGACGAAATTCTTCACTACTACAAATGGACCTCCCCTCCAGGAGTGATTCGGATTCTGTCTATGCTCATCATCGTGATGTGCATTGCCATCTTTGCCTGTGTGGCCTCCACGCTTGCCTGGGACAGAGGCTACGGAACCGGCTTGCTGGGAGGGGGTCTGGGCTATCCTTACGGAGGAAGTGGCTTTGGGAGCTATGGAAGCGGCTACGGCTATGGTTATGGCTACGGGTATGGCTATGGAACAGGCTATACGGATCCAAGGGCGGCCAAGGGCTTCCTGCTGGCCATGGCCGCCTTTTGTTTCATTGCCGCATTGGTGATCTTTGTTACCAGTGTCATAAGATCTGAAATGTCCAGGACCAGGAGATATTATTTGACTGTGATCATCGTGAGTGCCATCCTGGGCGTCATGGTGTTCATTGCCACGATTGTCTACATAATGGGAGTCAACCCAACGGCCCAGGCTTCCGGATCTATGTATGGTTCACAAATCTATGCCCTCTGCAACCAGTTCTACACACCTGCTGCTACTGGACTCTACGTGGATCAGTATTTATACCACTACTGTGTGGTGGATCCTCAGGAGGTATGAGTGGTGTTTTGGTTTTATCTCCTTCTTTCTAGGACAGAGGCTTTCAACTTGGGGAATGTAACAGAATCACTCTGGGAACTTAAAAAAAAATTGATGCCGCTAGGTGTGGTGGCTCATGCCTGTAATCCCAGCACTTTGGGAGGTGGAGGCGAGAAGATGGCCTGAGTCGAGGGGTTCGAGACCAGCCTGAGCAACTTGGCGAGACCTCGTCTCTACAATAAGTAAAAAAAAATTCACCAGGCATGGTGGCGCCTGCCTGTGGTTCCAGGTACCTGGAAGGTTGAGGTGGAAGGGTCACCTGAGGCCAACAGGTTGAGGCTGCAGTAACGTGAGCGTGCCACTGCTCTCCAGCCTGGGTGACAGAGTGAGAATTCAACTCAAAGAAAAAAATAGCCGGGCATGGTGATGCATTCATAGCATTATTCTTAATAGCTGATGTGGAAACAGCCCAAATGTCCACCAACGGATGGGTAAATATAATGTGATATATCCATACACTGGAATTTAAGTCAGCAATAAAAAACAATGAAGAAATGGTACATACTATAAAATGGATAAACCTCGGCTGACTCGGTGGCTCAGCCTGTAATCCCGCGCTTTGGGAGGCTGAGGTGAGTGGATTGCCTGAGCCCGCGGGTTCAAGACCCGCCGGGGCAACTTGACGAGACCTCATCTCTGCAATAAATAAAAAACTAGCTGGGCGTGGTAGTGTGTGCCTGTAGTTCCGGTTACTTGGAAGGCTGAGGCAGAAGGATCTCCGGAGCCCAGCGGGTCGAGGCTGTGGTGGCCGGGAGCGGCCACTGCACTCCAGTCTGGGCGACAAGAGTGAGACTCTAACTCAAAAAAAAAAAAAAAAAAAAATGGATAAACCTCAGAACCATTACACTAAATGAAAGAAACCAACCACAAAAGACCACATATAGTGTGATTTCATTCATGTAAAATACTCAGAGAATATATCTTTATTTATTTTGAGTTAGAGTCTCACTCTTGTCGCCCAGGCTAGAGTGCAGTGGTACACTCGCGGCCACTGCAGCCTCGACCTGGTGGGCTCAGGCCCTCCTTCCATCTCAGCCTTCCAAGTAGCTGGAACTACAGATGCACGCCAACATGTGCATTTAAAAAATTTTTTTAAATTTATGGTAAAGACGAGGTCTCACCAAGTTGCCCAGGCTGGTCTTGAACCCCCGGGCTCAGGCAGTCCTCTCTCCTCGGCCTCCCAAAGTGCTGGGATTACAGGCTGAGCCACCACACCAGGCCTCGAGAATATATCTTAATGAGTCAGCTCTCCCCCAGATTCTGACTTAATTAGAAGCGGGTCTTTGGCATCAATGTATTTTTCTGTTTGTTTGTTTTTTGAGGAGGAATCTCACTCTGTCACCCAGATTGGAGTGCAGTGGCACGCTCATGGTCACCGCAGCCTCGGCCCGCTGGGCTCAGGTGATCCTTCCACCTCAGCCTTCCAAGTAGCTGGAACTACAGGCATGTACCACCATGCCTGGCTAATTTTTTGATTTATTGTAGAGACGAGATCCTGCCAAGTTCCCAGGTGGTCTTGAACCCCTGGGCTCAGGCAGTCCTCTTGCCTCGGCCTCCCAAAGTGCTGGGATTGCAAGCATGAGCCACCATGTCCAGCTTTTTTTTTTTTTTTTTTTTGAGTCAAGGTATTTCTGTCACCCAGTCTGGAGTGCAGTAGCACAATCATTGCTCACCACAGCCTTGATGTAGGCTCAGGTGATTCTTCCACCTCAGCCTCCTGAGTAACTGGGACTATAGGCATGTGCCCCAGTGCCTGGTTATTTTAAAAAATTTTTTGTAGAGATAAGGTCTGGCTATGTTGCCCAGGCTGGTCTTGAACTCTTGGGTTCAAGCAATCCTCTGCCTCGGCCTTCCAATGTGCTGGGATTACAGAAAGGAGCCTCTAAGCCTGACCTCTTTTTGTTTTCTTGATGGTATCTTTTGTACAAAAGGTTTTGGTTTTGATGTTCCATTTATTTAATTTTTCTTTTTTTTTTTGCGTGGGAGTCTCACTCTGTCGCCCAGACTGGAGTGCAGTGGCTGCTCCCGGCCACCGCAGGCTCGACCTGCTGGGCTCCAGTGATCCTTCCGCCTCAGCCTTCCGAGTAGCTGGAACTACAGGCGCGCGCTACCACTCCCGGCTGATTTTTTGATTTATTGTAGAGATGAGGTCTCGCTGCCCAGGTGAGTCTCGAACCCGCGGGCTCAGGCCATCCACTCACCTCGGCCTCCCAACGTACGGAATTACAGGCTGAGCCACCGAGCCCGGCTGTTTAATTTTTCTTTTATTGCTTGTGCTTTTGGTGTCCTATCCAATAATGCCTTGCCTAATTCAAGGTCACAAAGATTTACTCCTATGTTTTCTTCTAAGAATTTTATAATTTTTTTAGTTGAAGTCTCACTCTGTTGCTCAGGCTCACGGTCACGGCAACCTCGACCTACTGGGCTCGGGTGATCCTTCCGCCTCACCTTTCCAAGTAGCTGGAACTACAGGTGCGCGCTACCATGCCTGGTTAATTTTTCTCTTTTTTTTTTATTTGGAGTCTCACTCTGTTGTCCAGATTGGAGTGCAGTGGCCTCTCCCGGCCACTGCAGCCTCGTCCTGCTGTGCTCCTGCGATCCTTCTGCCCCAGCCTTCCAAGTAGCTGGAACTACAGGTGTGCACTACCACTCCCGGCTAATTTTTGATTTATTGTAGAGATGAGGTCTCGCCAGGTTGCCTGGGTGGGTCTCAAACCCACAGGCTCAGGCAATCCACTCGCTTCGACCTCCCAAAGTGCTGGGATTACAGGCTGAGCTTCCGAGCCCGGCCTCATTTTTGATTTATTGTAGTGATGAAGTCTCGCCAAGTTGCCCAGGCTGGTCTTGAACCCGTGAGCTCAGGCAGTCCTCTCACCTTGGCCTCCCAAAGTGCTGGAATTACAGGCGTGAGTCACTGCGCCCAGCCAGAATTTAAAAAAATTAGCCAGGCATGGTGGCACGTGCCTGTAGTTCCAGCTACATGGAAGACTGAGGAGGAAGGATCGATCGCCTGAGCCCAGCAGTTGAGGCTGCGGTGGCCGGGAGCGTGCCATTGCCCTCCAGCATGGGTGACAGAGTGAGACTCCGACTCAAAAAATAAAAGTACTTTGTAGTTTTCAGAGTATTAGGTGATTCAAATGTGCAGGCTGGGGTTGAAAAATCTGCCTTAGTAACCATGACTCATTCTAATTACCTTGAGACATGAAATGTTCCTGAGTTACTAATCCTTTTTCCCTTTTTCCCCCCTTTCTTTCATTGACTCACAAATTCCCATTCTCTTACCTGAGTGAGTCAGTCCTTTGGGGTTAAATCTCCCGTGACTCTCTACCATTGTTCCGAAGACTGCAGGTTTTCCCTGTAGATATAGGTTTTCAGAATGCTTGCTGTTGCCATTTGGGCAGAGCCAGGGTAAATAGGGACTGAGGGTTGGTCCTCTTATCTCACCACATTCCCCATCCCTCTTAGTCCTCTGAGTATTTGAAACATTATTCCTTGAGAAAGGATGTCACTGTCAGACAGCTGGAATGAGAACCTCCTGTTACCCATTAGCAGACATCCAGGGCAAAGGCCTGGTACCTGCCTGAACTTCTACGTAATATGCTATCAGACGCCAGGAGAACTGTCACAGTGGGAAGTTCCCTTGTCACAGGGCAAGCATGCAAGACTCTTAAAACAGAGAAACCTGTCAGACCAAATGAATCATTAGTCCGTGTGCTCTAATTTATTTATAGCTTGGTTAGTTCATGTCTTCATCATTTATAAGATAAATATCTGGATGAAATTTACATTCAGCTAAAAAGATTTGCCAAGCATGTGTTATGAACAAGATTACAAGCATGACTGGCTTTTTTTTTTTGATTTGTAGAGACATCATCTCACTATGTTGCCCAGGTTGGTCTCAAACTCCAGGTCTCAACTGATGCTTCCGTGTCAGTCTCCAAAACACTGGGATTGCAGGTGTGAGCCATTGTGCCCAGCCCTTGATTGGCTATTTTAAAGCTATTCTGGGCTGGGCTCAGTGGCTCAGTCTGTAATCCCACACTTTGGGAGGCAGAGGTGAGTGGATTGCCTGAGCCCGCGCGTTCGAGACCCACCTGGGCAACTTGGCGAGAC